TTTCAAAAACGCCGCCGCACTTATAAGCTGCCCCGAATGGGCCCTTAAAATGGTGATATTTTTTATGCGAAACAAAAATTTTGAGTGGCATATATATATAAAATCCATTGTTCTTAATGTATTTAAAAAAATATCTCGCAAGAATAAAATTTTGTTTTACATCATAATCAGAAAAAATCATGCAACAAAATGACAAGAAATATAAGAAATAAAATAAAATAAAATAAATTGCAGCAATCCATATAATAGTTGGAGATCTGTTGTTTGAAGTTTAAACTACATCGCATTGAACAAAATAACTAATAAAAAATTATTAGATTTTTTATTGAGAACAATAAAATATATAAAAAATTAATCCAAACTTAATATGATAATTATCTCAAAATAAATCCATAAAATTAAAATTTATGATACAAAATTATGCCACGTTTCCCGACTCTTTGGTTTGAGAAATATTTGCGTTTGCGTGTGTCTAACGTACGCAGAGTTGCGTGCGTCGGTAGGTGACAGGGAGAGTATTGGGGAGTTATATCCACGTTATACCCCCTATAACCCCACTGTAATCTACCTGTAATCTACCTGTACCTAGTAAGTTCTGCGCTTCTATTTTCATATATTTGTAAGTTACAGGTAGATTACAGTTAGGTTACAGAGAAGTTACATTGGGTATAACACAGATATAACACTTTAATACCCTTCATGTAGCCTACTGACATATGCAGCTCTGCGTACGTTAGACGTTCGCAAATATTTTCCCATTTATTGGCATCTGCAAAGTTGGTTCTAAGTTTCTTGAGATCGGTGGTTTGAATCCGCTTATCTGTGGTTAAGTTGAGTGATTAGGCACACGATATTGGTTAAGGCTCATATCATAGTCTCTGCCCAATCTTTTTTTAATTAAAAAAATATATATACAAAACTATGAAATTTAAACTTTTATGATGGATTGAAATAAAAATAAAAATAAAATGTTAGCCTATAAGATTTTTAAATTGGGTCAATTACATACATAGTACTCAAAACATGCTATTTATAAATCTAACATTGTTTTTCATCCATTTTTCAAAGTTTCACTAAAATATCAAAATTCAGGTTAAAACCCCAACCCATATTTTTCATTTTTAGCAAATTCTCAATGACTTGATCATGCCGGTGTTTCAAACATGCCGGTGTAAAAGAAGTGGTGTAATATTTAAAAAAAAAAAAAAATTCAAGTGTTAATTTTATAAATAGCAATGTTTTGAGTGCCTTGTATGCAATTAGCCCTTTACCAGCATAAGAAAAGTATACACACAGCTTCACTATAATTATCTGAATATCTGAAGGTCTAAAAATGCAAAAAAAGAATTTATATATTTAACACCTAAAATTCAATATTTACATGCATACCATCTTACCCATGCGAAGGTGTTTTCGACCTTTTAAAAGTTAAAATGGTGATATTTTTTTGTGATATAAAAGACTTTGGCTTTTCATACTAAAGTTTTGGGGTCAGATATGTAAATTTATAGACATTGGGTTGTATGTATGTAAATGCCCTATTTTTGAAAGATATCTTGCACCAAGGAAATATTTCAATGCTCTAAAATCCTTAAATTCAGGCTTTTTTTTTTCATAGTTGAAGTATAGATGATATCATTAACATAGACATGAGAAGTCAACATGGTTAAATTTTCATGACATTTGGAATAAGTATCATATTTACATCTCCCTTGTTGCATGTTATATTGGAGTTTTCAGTGTGGCCAGGGGAATGAGATTTTGGCAAGTCAACGAGAGATGGACTCAAATAAAAAAAAAGGTAGAACTAATAGGGAGTTGGAATTCTTCTCATGAATATGAATTTCCAAAAAAAAAAAAAAAATTGTATATTGTTTAATACGTCTTTAAAGATTATATTGATTTGTACGAATCTAGACGCACATTTTCATCGAAAGCTTCAAAAATCAGATTTGGGAACGTGCGAAGTCCCAAGGAGATGAACCATATGATATAAAAAACGATATCATCTGAGTTTAAATGGGTCCAGATGATGCACCTAACATGTAGCTGAAAGCTTTGAAATATATTTTAGAGGGATCAGATGATCTCCAAATTTGAAAAGTTTATGAGTCAAATTGAGTGTCTCAATAAACGGAATCCAACGAGCCCAAGATCACTTAATCTCAATATCATCAAAGTGTTGAAATGCTCATAAAACACCATCCAATCAAAAGGAACACTTTGGGCAGGGCAGGGCAGTCTGATGGAATGATTCGGCTTCATACAATATTTACAGAGAATGTTACTCACAAAATCAATAATAATCCCCGCTCGTCCAGAGATAGACATCATTTGTACCATTGTTAAGCGAGCAACCAATAAAAATGTACTTAACAAATTTTGGGTTAAATTTGTTTCTTTCATGAGATGAAATGTGAACAAAAGTAAAACAATCATTGACTTAAAAGAAAAACGGTAAAGACAAGTCTAGTTTTGGCATAGGTTCTGATAAACAGTTATTTATAAAATTCTTGACGACATGCAATTAATGAGGTCCGCAAAATTCAAGACAATCTTTCTCTAATAATATTTTGGAATGTTGTTAGTGATGATAATGAATCTAGTAACTTTCAAAAGGTGTCATTTTCTCTTTTCTTGAGAGGAATAGATAAGAACTTTGGTTCACAATCCCATGTTAAAGAAACTAGTTTCCAATAATGAAATCAAACCATTTTTTCTATTGTTAGTCCCAAAGACTTGAATTTGGGTTTCAAATATATAGTGACAAAATTTTCTACAAATGTGAAAAATTTAAGATTTATCTTTCGTCAAGAAAATTCAAGTAGCTCTAATAACAATCAACCAATATTCATCCTCATTGCATTGCTCTTGAAACCAGAAAGTAACTCAAGACAAAAAGTCATAAAGAGACATCTCCTACCATATGATCAAAAGCACCCAGGTCCAAAGTTGGGAATTATTGATTTCTGAATTAAATGAATTCAAGATTATGCCTTCTTAAGCTAGTGACCCGGTAAAAATTTAAAAAGTTTTTCAATATTTCTTCTGCTCTTGATTGAAAAAGCATAATATAAGGGATGGAGTTGATTTTTTGAGAGTGATAGTTACTCGAAGAGAGTACGACTTATTGTTTTGGTCTAGTAGGCTTCCCATCTAGTTTTCAGCAAATTCTTCTATATTTGGATTTCTTGCAATGATCAAAACAAAAACTTTTTCTTTGTAAAATATTTGTTGGAGGCAGGCATATCTTGAGAGGCAAGAGCCAAGAGTCAAGCTTTAAGATAGCTTGGGAGTACTTTAATTTCCCAATATGATATTTTTGTGACTCTCTATAGACTTTAAAGAACACTCCTTGAATGAACGAAACGGTTTTTCTTCTAATTATCTACCTTGAATTTCATCAAAATCTTTATTTAGACCAATGATGAATTCTTTAATCTTGCCTTCCTCAACTACTTTTCAATTTTTGGTTGTACCACCAGGGCACACCCAATCTGGTTCTTCAAAGATATATCGCTGTTGTCAATACCAGATAAGAGCATTGTAATATTGAGTGACAGAGATATCACAATGAAGATCACACACAGGCTCCTTCGATTTCAAATAATTGAATATTTTTGTTGTTCGAACCAGGGCACACCCAATCTGGTTCTTCAAAGATATATAGCTGTTGTCAATACCAGATAAGAGCATTGAAATATTGAGTGACAGAGATATCACAATGCAGATCACACACAGGCTCCTTCGATTACAAATAATTGAATATTTTTGTTGTTCCAGTATGTTTCTTTTGCAAAATCCTTAATTTCATTTGTGGTTCCATAGAAAAATGAAAATTTAGCTAATTCCATTTTCCATGATGTTAATAAGCCAAACAGAATTAAATTGCTTTAAAATCGTCACGTTTGAATTTTCGCTCTATTTTTTAAGGCAAGGCAGCACTAGTAAACTAATCACTTTTTCCTCTCCCTATGATAAATATCATAAATGATGGGGCCCGATCGAGATAATTTTGCCTATTCAACTTTTACCAAATAACCGACAAATTAGAGAAATCTTCATAATTGTTGATGTTACAATGACTGCTTCTTTCATGTTCGGATGTGGTATCGGAGGAGAAACTCCTATCGAACACCATCCTATGCTTAACAATCATCATGGTGAAGAAGAACTTAGAGTTGATGTGGAGATGGCTTTAATATCATGCCAAGAAAAACAAAAAAAATGAAGGACAACGAGTTGTAGGAACAACCATAATGGAGAAATAATCTTGTTTCTTATTCCAATGAGAAGAGCTAGTGTGGCTTAAATAGAGAATACAGGGACCAAGAAAGAAGAGAAAAAAAATCAACAGGAGATGAAAAAAAAGGATGGTGATGAATTTTTAGCAGTTTATTAAGTAATTCGCCCACAATCCATTGGAAGCCGTTAGTAAACACCAACAATGAAAGGTTGAGAAATAAAGACTTTCTTAGCATTATGTATCTTTTTACATAAATTCCAAAAAAATAATCATAGACAATTTCTATGGATAATATTCTTACAGAAATCACATTCATATTGTAGTAATTGATGAGCCTCCAGGATTAGTACACAGGATTTACTTCTAATCATATAAAAAATAAATCAGAAAACACTAAAATGCATTGCAATCAGAGAAGAATATATGAAAAAAAACCATTCATAAATGGTGGATGCAAACAATTAATAAAATCGTATACATTCTTGATATAACAAGTTCTGTAGATTATATATGTTCTCTATAATTTACAGGTAAAATTCCTCTTAATTTCATCCCAAACTGCAGAAAATGCTTTTTTGAAAAGCAAATCTAAACAGCGATGGCAATGAATATGGCTAATTGATAAAAACAAAACCACTTACTCCAAATACAAATAAATGAATCAGCTTACTAGAACAAGAACTCTGTATCGATGACATCAAGAACCTTATGTGTGCCCTTCGATTTCACTCCAGGCTTGAAGTTGTTACCTTCAATGTACCTACGTCAGGTTTATTGATCATAAATCTGTATCAGTACAGTGCAAGCCATTTCCAAAATCAAAATCTACTTAATAAACTTACATCTCCTTCAAGAATGGATGTTTGTACAATCCATCAGGAATTCTCCCAACAAACGAGTTATGATCTAAATACCTGAGGTGTTCCACAAAATTAATTAAGCAGCATCAAGTTGAAGATCCTTTCGAAACAGATAATATGGAAGTTTAGTGTCAAAATAGTCCCGACTTTTTTGCAAAAGGTGGCCATTTAGTCCCAAAGTCTATAATAACGTCAATTTATTCCCCGAACTATTTTGGTGTGAGCCAAAACAATCCTCTTTGGGGACCACTTCAGAACACATTAAAAGATTCTAATTTGGCATTTTCTAAACTCTGAGACTAAAATGACCTTAATAAACAATCAGGTGACTATTTTGATACTTTACGTTCCATAGGACACTGTTCAGGAAAATTAACTTACAAATATGTTAATCTCGGTATCTCAACGAGCTTAGGTGTTACTGCTCCACTTATCTTGTTGTGGGAGAGATACCTTTAACCGGAAGCAAACAGCATTCAAAACTTTAAATCAATTTCAGAAAAAAAATCCAATTTTTATCATTTTAATGAAGAAATTCTCACAGGATTTCTAGATTCGATAGGTTGGCAAGCTGATCAGGTAGACCTCCACCTAATTGATTGTTGTTTAGATACCTACAAATTGCAATATGTAATTGCTTATCTAACAATTCAATACATGCAATGAGTTACAACCAAGAGAATTCTAAATTAAATGTTAGGGGCATTAGCATGCATACCACCCAATTATTATATATTTACATATCTAACACAAACTTTAATTTTTACATTTATGCAACCCCAATATTTCATATCACATTAAAAAAACAAAAATTTAACTCTTAAAAAGTGAAATACACCTTTTCGAAATACACCTTTTCATGCATAGAAAAGGTGGTATGTATGTAAAAATTGAAGTTTAGGTGTTAGATATGCAAATACATAAGGATTAAGTGGTATGTACGTAAATCTTCCTAAATGTTATCAGCTTACAAGTTGCGAAGAGAATGAAAGCATTCACCATTGCCAATGAGATCCCTCAGTGTTCCCGTTAAGTGGTTATTGCTTACATCACTATAAGGAAGATGGATGGTAAGCATGCCGTGTTAGTAAACTGTAAACCTTTGCAAAAATCAGAATCACAAAGAATGCAAATTATCTTGAGGATGAAAAAGAAAATCTGTTCTTCATAGTGCAGCTTTCATGGTGGATTTTTTTAACCTATTTTATTGTTTATTATAACAGCAATATTTCGCCTTCATTACAACTTTTTTTTTGTACAATTACATACATAGCACACAATTCTTATGTATTTACATATCTCACATCTAAACTTTCATTGTTACATGCATAACACTCAAATCTTTAATATCACAACAAAAATAACATTATTACCACTTTTTAAGAGCTAAATACACCTTCTCATTCATAGGTTCAAAACATCAAAGTGATATGTATGTAAATGTAAAAGCTTGGGTGTGAGAATGTAAATACATAAGAACTGTGTGCATGTTATGTAAATTTCCCCATTTTTTTCTTTGTAGTTCCCATATGCTAATTTTCATACGAAAAAAGGAGAATATTTTTTGCACAAAAAAGAGAAGAGAGCTGAAAGGAAATTTTGACTGTACAGATGTCTCAGATTTTTTAGATTTCCCAGCTCTGGAGGAATTTTTCCGGTAAAACGGTTCTCGTGTAGATAAAGATAGCGCAGGTCTGGTAAATTTGCAAGCTCCACAGGAATTTCTCCCTTAAAACTATTGAAGCTCAGATACCTGCAGAACCGCAAGTTAGAATTCCAGAATTTCACAAAACAAAGGAATAAGGCAGAGAAGTGGGATCTGTTCGTAAATTACAAATGAGTTAGTTTCTTCAGTTCGCCAATTTCAGCAGGGAGTGTATCTTGCAGCTTATTCCATCTCAAGTTCCTGTAAAATTTAAATGAAATAAGATAACAACAAACAAATCGCTAACTACATAGAAAACCAACTAAAATTGGGACAGTGGCAGCTAAATTAAACTTGAATCAACACAATAGCTCGAATGGCGAATTTTAAGGGTAGTATAGCCCAATTAAAACACAACATAATACAAAAGATGGCCAAAACAAGGCTGCAAAATTCTCCTAATTAAATTTGGAATAGACCTTATAAATTGTTTCATACGTCTGATCAAGTTTATAAGCATTTAAGTACGAAAAACTATCATGGATAAAGTTTAAATATGGCTAATGAAAGGAAGAGATATTGCCTGAAGATATTAGATAAAAACAGTTGAGGATTAATTAATTTATCTTATCTATAGCTTATATGAAGAAGCATGCTATCATAGTTCATAATTTTTACAACATGACAACTATGATGACTTGGGAATAATATGAATATCATCATCGTTATAGATTTTATGATGGTTTTGTTTATACTCATCCATTTCATTCCCATCCAAAACCAAGTTATCATAACGATAGATCATATTATATACCTTTTTTTAAGCTCCATATGTTTAGAAATATCTGAGCATGGCTTTCAGGTTTCTTTTCAATGTCTAGCGCATTTGATCATTATATTATAAGATCAGTGATTTTTCAAGCTTCAAATTTAGGGTGGGGGTGCTTCAGTTACAAAACGTCAAGTTTTTCGAGCTTCAGCTTTAATGTCCTTCCAACACGAAACTTCCAAAAATTTCTAGCAGTAATTCCATTAAAAGTCCTAAGTTTCCAATATTTTATATTTTTGGTCCTGCTCACAAGATAACTGTTGCTTCGTGATCAGGACTTTTAAAAATACAACATTTCTATGGTCCTGTCATTTATGACATAACATTGCAGTTACTTGTCATTTTCTTAGAAGTTGTAAATTAATGGTGGATTTCATTATTATAAGTATGGAATTTTTGGGCAAGTAAAAACTATTCTATTATGATTTTACTTTTGATAAAGTAATTTTTTTATTGAGTGCAAGTGGAGATTAAAGATTTCTATGAAAATTTATCTCCTTGTACAAGAATTACAATACATGCCCAAAAGAAATAACACACCATAGCGCAAACATCTTGTGGGACTAGTGCTATGTGCTAAACTATTTTAAAATAATATGAAACATTAAAAAACTATGAAAATTGTATTAAATATTCAGCAGTATAACTGGATAAAATCCTAATGCAAAAAGGCATTAATGATATCATACAACTAAAACATAATATTACTTTTAACATCTTATGAAAAAGCCATGCAATTTTATTAGTAACATGAAAATTTCATAGTAATATTCAGAAAGTTTATGACATTGTACAATTAAGATGAAGGGCAGTTGGTTGTATGAAATGTCTGTCAATCACCACATGCTTTATGCAATCACGTTGCACTGAATTTTTTGTAATGCTTATGACAGTTTTATTGTCATAGTACAATTTCATTGGCATGTTTATCGGGATCCGCAACTCTTCAAGAAATATCTTCAACCATACCATCCCATCTCACGTACTCCATTAGCCATTAGCCATAGCCATAGCCCTATTTGCCTCGGCACCACTCCTCGCAACCACATTTTGCTTCTTACTTCACCAAGTAATCAGATTTCCTCAGACATAAGTATATAGTATCTGAAAGCCGATCTCTGGTCAAGAAATAAGTCTGCCCAATCTGCATCAATATAAGCCTCTATGTTATGTTGTGTGGCATTCTGAAAGAATAGCCCTTGCCAGGCATACATTTTACATAGCATGGAATATATTAACTACTTTAAGGTGTTTCTCATAGGGTGACTCATAGGGTGAATGCATAAATTGACTTATTAAGCTCACAACAAAGGCGATATATGGTCGTGCATGTGACAAGTATATCAACTTTCCCGCCAATTTTTTATACCTAACTTTAGTCACCAAGTTACCTACTCTATCATCTCTCAATTTCTGACTGAGATCAATTGGAGTGTCTGCAGGCCTAAAATCACTCATCTCAGTTTTTTTAGAAGATCAATAATATACCTTTGTTGGAAAATAACAATCCATTTCTTTGATCCAAAAATCTCCATGCAAGGAAATATCTCAAATATCTTAAGTCCTTCGTCACAAACACTGATGGGGAGTCTTCAAACGATTCATCTCATACTTATCATCTCTGGTGAGAATTATATCGTCCACACAATCAATATGACAATCCCCCCATTCTTTAAATATTTGAAAAATATTGTATGATCTCCTTGTCCTTGAGTATACCCTTGACCTTTAAGAAATAGTATAAATTTCTCAAACCATATTTTCGGTGACTGTTTCAACCCATATAAAGATTATTTTAGTTTACACACATGTACACTTCTTCCTTCAAATCTTAGAGATGACGAACTTCTCACTAAATTCTGGAGATGCATTCATGTACACTTCTTCCTTCAAATCCCCATTAAACAATCATTTTTATATCCAAACATTGTCGGGCGAGTGAAGATTAGTTGCAAGTAATAGAAGAACTCTTATAAAGTTTAGCTTTGCAACTAGGACAAATGTCTCTAAGTAATCAATATCCTAGGTTAAGTAAATTCCTTGGCAACTGGTTTAATCTTGAATCATTCTAAAGAATCATCAGAATTGTACCCGACAATAAACAACATTTGCACCTAACAATTGTCTTCCCTCTAAATAGATCAACCAATTCCCACGTGCTATTTTTTTTCAAGAGCTTTCATATCCTCAAAGACAACCTTATTCAACTTAGGAACTTTAAGAGCATCTTTTGCATTATTAGGATCTTAATAGAAGATAATCATGATGTAAAAGCAGGAAAAATGGGTGAGAGATTTTCATATGATACATAATGGGACAATAGATGTTGGGTGCAACACTTTACCCCCTTACAAGCAACAATGGGAAGACTAGAATAATTAGAATTACGATTAGAACAATGCTCAAGTTCAAGACTTGAAGACTTAGCTTGAAGATGAAGTGTATTTTTATGGGGTAAAAGATTAGTGAGGACATGGCCTCGAGGGTTTGTTGATTTTGGGCAATGCAAAGAATTCGTAAACCCTTTCATTTGAATTGTCCTCTACCACAAGTAAACAATATCAAATGATACCAACTTCCTAGTTTTTTTTCCTGATTCTTTTTTGTTAGTTATTATAGGATAATAAACATCATGAGATGGCACTGTAGAAAGGCCTAAATCGTCCTCAATATCTAAAATACTCAACTCGGTTTCTCCTGTATAATATAGCTTAGATTTTCAAGTAGAACAATCAAGGTTGGGGGTAGTATTTTGTTAGTCTTCGATTTGAAATAATTCCTAAAAATCAATAGTCGAAACTTTAATTTTCCACCTTCAAGATGGGGTGTAAAAAGTATTGTAATTCAAAAAAAGGTGACATTCATAATAACAAACATTTTTTTAGAAATATGATCAAAATATTTATACCCCTTTTGGGTAGAAAAATCACAAAAAAAAACTGGCTTGAGGTTTAAGTTTTTCTTGATTATATGACTATGAATGTGAAAAATAAGAGTAAACCCAAATATCTTTGAAAATAAAGAAAAAGAGAGCCGATTTGTTAGGTAATTTTTTGAAAAATATCAAAAGGTAATTAAAAGTTTAAAACTTTATTAAGTATTCAATTTGTGACAAACATAGCATTAAGAATGACTTTATCCCAAAAATAATTAAACACTTGATTGGTAAATAACAATCCTTTAAGTGTTTATTTTTTTCTTTCAGCTACACCACTTTATTGTCGAGTGTCAACACAAGAACTGTGTTGAACTAATCATTTTTTTGAGAAAAAAATGACTCAAAGTACTCTTGAAATATTTGAAGTAGCTTATATGTTCTAAGTCATTATCACTCTAGAATATTTGAATATTTCTTTTTTAATTATGCTTTTATTGTGGTGCAATTTTTTTTAAAACTACTACCACTTCAAATTTTACTTTCATTAAGTAAACCCAACCAAACCTTATCTGGTCATCAAAAAGTGTCAATAACTATTTTTTTCCATAATATGTGAGAATTTATAATGAACTAAGATATCAATGTGAAAAAAAAGTAAATGATGTAATAAGTTTGTATGTTTAGAGAGAAAATGACACAATTATGTTTAACAAACTGATAAATTTCATATTGAGAAGATAACAGATTTTATTCTGAAATAAATTGGAAACAAGTATTTTAAATAATAAAAATTTGGATAATTTAACCAATAATGTCATAACATAATATCAATGTCTTTGAAAACAAGACCAAAATTTAAACAAGTGCTTTAATATTGTCTATTGGAGTTTTATCCATCGTCAAAATAATAGTTCATCATCTTCATTCGTACTGTCAATCATCTTCTCGGTAGTCAATTCCTAAAACTCATAACAAAAGTAGAAGTTAACTCGACACTAATGATCAAAAGTAATTTTACAAATACAACACATTAAAAGAAAAATTGCGAATATCAAGTACATCACGAAAGGTTAAAAACGATATGAGTTTAATAGTTCCTATCTTGGCAATTATCAAAAGGGAAGCATCAGCAATCTTGACATTTTTATTACTTACACAAGTTCTCTATGATAAAAATAATTTAAAAAAAAATCAATCATATGAACAGTTATGCCTGAATTAATTATCCAAAATTGAACAAAAATAGGAGTAACACCTAACAATACAATGGCAAGAGAGTTAAACTTTTGTACTAAAAAACAAGACAGTCAAACATAATTTTAAGGATTTAAACAATTTGTACAAGTCCTCAAATTGCTCCTTGGTGAAAAGAACTACATCTGAGTATGCAGAAAGTTCCTGAGTTTCTTCAGTAATGGCTTGATAAGTTCAACATTCACATTTAAATTTTGATTTCTAATTCGCAATTTTATCATGAAGCTTCCAAAATATCTCATTCGTATGTTGTGATAATGCTCGTACAATGATTTTATACGCCCTTCTTTGTCAATATCA